CACACACAGGTTTAACCAGAGGAAATAGTTGCCATCACTACATGAATTACTGTTAAAAAGCTTTAAAAACATTAGAAATTAAGGAATGCTTAAAAAAACACTTTCATCACGTTCTAATGACAAACCCAGGCAAAAAGGAATATCATCCCCTTTAAATCTGATAATGTTATTTTTTATTGATGTTGATTACGTGCCTCAAATAGTCCTATCAGCTTTGGGATATTTGCCAGGCTGTGCTGTTTAACTGATTAAAAAAAGGAAAGTCACAAAGGGACGGGTAGCGTTATTTGCCCCTGACGTTAAGTCCAAAAATACCCAGATGCCTGGAGTGTTTCAAGAGGACACAACGAGGCCACTGATATTGATTTGTCATGAACTGAGCTCTATCCCCAGTGAGGACAGTCGTCTTCCTCTGCTGCCTCGATCCGAGGCCACGAGCACTGTCAACTCGACAGAGCAAACAGATTAGATGGGAGCCAGTGCACCGGTAAAAACAGAGCTATGCAAATGTTTAGGCAGCGCTGGGGAAAATGTCTATAATTTAAATTGTTAATTGATCCGAAGATGAACTGGTCGCCAAAAGGATTACTGTTTTATTTTTGATTTGTAGGATTTTAGTGTGAAAAAAGGAAAAGAGGAGTCTGTAAAAGTTTGGGCACTCTTAACAGATACTTGAACACTGTCCCAAAAATCAGCAGCTGAAATGATTGGTACCCACAATTCAGAGGAGGACTGCAGGGAGATGGCAGACATTTTTTACAGGAGGTCACATTGAGGTTTGGAAGACGAGGAAAACCCTTCGAGGACTCTTTAAGGTTAGTAGGAAGGCAAATCAAAACCGACATTTGACTGGAAAAGAGCATAAGGAAGTACAGGCAGACAGTGGAGAGGGGGTGCACTGTGCAACCACACCAGCACAAATACGACCTTCATGGAAGAGTCACCACGAGAAAACCTTTCCTGCATCCTCAGCACAAAAATCAGTGCCAAACATTTACAAAGCAACAGTTAAAGAAGTGGACTGCTGAGGATGAAAAAGAAATATTGGGCTAGAAATGACAAAAGTAAGTTTGAGGAAAAGCAGGTGCATCATTTCATGTAAAGCACGGAGGTGAGTCGATCAGGCTCTATGTTTGTGTTGCAGCCAGTGGCATGGGGAACATTTCACCAGCAAGAAACAAAAATTGCTCCATCTGCTAGCTTCTTGGCACTCATAGCCCCCAAACTAATCATCATTGAAAATCTGTGGATAGACCTCAGGCCAAATATCTCATAGACCTAAAAGTCTTTTGCAATGTAGAAAAGGTAAAAAAAAAAAAAAAAGCCCAGTAAAAGAGTAACTTCAGCTATTGCAGTTTTTATATTTAGACCCCTGGAGCAGTAATACATTAAGCCAATACTTTTGCATTTATTGAAGCTCTTATGGCACAGCATCACTGAAGAAGCAGGACTGCAAAAGAAAGGCCGATGTTTCCTCCCCACTCCGCCAACAGAAAGTGACAAATCAATACAAATCGTATCTTAACCGTCAGTGAGGGAGCCGGCCTTTTCCAGGCGAAAGCTGGGCTCAGCAGCTCGTCTTATATTTCTTCTCTGCAGTCTGTTTGGTTTTACTTGGTTTAAAGCATCGCACAGACGAGTCAGATGCGCAAACATGAGCATCTGTGTAGTTTGCCATCATTGTGCTACAGCAACTCTGAGAGAAAGTTTTAAGTGAACTCATAAAAGGGGATGGCTCCAGAAGCTCAATCATTCTTTGAATTTATTTCCCTCGACCACCTGTGGGGTGTTTGTCAAAAATCAACCCTTCCCTGATGAGCCGCTGGAGAATTTCATTAGTCTGAGTTTAAATCTGAAGTTCTGATGCTCCTGAATGACCTAGATGCTGTTAAGGTATTTCACTCCCTGCTCAGGAAACAACTAAATATTTCACCTAAAAGTTGACCAGTTGATGGAGATTATCAGCGTATGGTCTTGGCAGCAAGAAATCATTTCAGTAGCTCCCTCACAAAATTCAAAGATATCATGTTGACGCCCTCTTTGGAGGATTAAACCTGTGTTCCAGGAATTGAGAGGCCTGTCACACCACCAGCCAATCCACCTCCTTCAGTTTCTAACTCGTATAACACACAGAGGCAGGCCCACAAACACAGGAGAAAACAAGCTTGCAGAGTTCACACTTTGTTTCCTGCTCAAACATTCCTGTACGAGCCACAGATTTTCACACAGCGGTAGAACCAAATATAGGCATCATTGAGGTTTACAAAAGTGCCTCGGTACTCAGAAGCACATCCTTTAATCCAGAGGTTTCAGGTTTGAGCCCCGCGAGTGTCCTTCAGCAAAACTTTTGCTGTTGTTGAATAAACTGGATTGGTTACATAATAATTTCATTTTATCTACAGTGTTTCAGCCTGTATCAATGTATCAATCATCTGCTATAAGAATAAATCCAACTTTTATTACCCTGTAGTGTTAATGTTGTTTAGTAGCATGAGTTCTGTCCTTTGCAACAGTTTTTAAGAGTACACAGTAATCTGTGACAGACCTAGCAGGTGCTAACACTCTGCCAACACTCTGAGCTGCTGACCTGTTGAAGAGATTATGTCAGATACTGAACTTAAATTAGAAGCAAACATGTTTGCATGAAGCATGGATGAATAAAATATGGAAAAAGACAAACATTATAGAAATAATGGCAAATTGTGTAAGTTTGGAATTAAAGGCAGCAATTTGTTCAAAGAAGACTTAACATCTTTCACATCTCCGCTCTTTAGGATATTTTACATCCCTGTAATTACCACAAAGAGTCTGAAGGTTAACCAAACATCATCTAGTCCCATTTAAAGTTTAATGAATCTCCACGGTGCGAAAAGCCTCTCTCTGTGTCTCTCTCTCTTTCTCTCTCTCTCTCTCTCATAACAAGCAAATTAAATTCCACAACAGGGTGATTGCTACACAAACAACCACAGAGTAAAGAGGGAGGATGTTTAACTTGCATAACCTGACTGATATACGTGTGGTGTGCAAGTCAACTGGGTAACCTGGACATAACGTCTCCGACATGATCCAGAAAGAAAAATCACTTCAGTATTCCAATAAGGGTTTGTTTATCAAAACAGAGTGGTGTGCTTCTTCTGAACTTAACAAACTTGATATATTTTCATACCATATGGTGCTAAAACAATGGTAGAGTGGGACTTAAGCAACCTGCAGCAATACTTCATAGTTTTTTGCAAAACTATAAATATGACAGAAACTAGAAAAGACTCTGTCAGAGCCAAAAATATCAGACATCAGTGAGCATGTAAATCTACATATGTGATTTAGGAGGTAAAAAGATGTACTGGCAGAAATTGAATACACAATACTCCTAGTGATGCTTTCACCAGGGTTTAATCATCTAAACTGTACAAATTGTTGTTTTCTCAACACTAGAAGGAGCCATTTATATTTAAATACTTCATATCTACATCGGGGGGCGGGTCGTCTCTACGGAGGCCGCCATGTTTTTGCAACCCCTTTTGATTTTTTTATGACAACTGAAGGCTGCCACTGGTATTCAACTGCAACATGCAACTTCACCAATAGGTGTCACTAAACTCTGCACACTGAACCTTTAAAAAAACGTGCTCTTGTCATATGCAAAGGCCCAGGTGTCAAAAACTTTCTCACGAAGGGAACTGAATTGAATGATCTCAGATAATAGTGGGGCTTAGCTGTGGTAATAGAGCAACGATGACGTGTTTTCTCCTGCAGGGTTACTTCGCAGTTTTATAAATATGACATGACATGACTCACGCTGTGTCTTTACACAGAATTCTCATGAATCATTTCGCATAGACATCACTGTCATTGTTCTGTAACAGCGTGTAATAACACGGTGATGCCCCGTGTGAGAGTGATGGAGCTGGGCTGCAGCTCAGGAGCTGAGACCGACGCGGGGCCCTGGTGAAGTGCGGGGCCACGAGACCCCGCATCCACAACACGACACAAATCACAGAGTGCACAGAAAAGCCAACATCTCCGCTGCTTCACGGCCACGACCAGCTTCTATCTGGCGTTGAAGCGTGACTGTGAACAACAGGACGAGTTCATATTGTGCTTCTTCTTCTTCTTCTTCTTGTTGTTGTTGTTGCTGCGGGCGTCCAGCCGCTCGGAGCCGTTAGCCAGGCTGGGTCTCCGGGCAGCTGTCAGTCCGCGTCACACACGGAGACAGTTTTAACGAACACCGCGGCGGCTTCTGCGTTTAACGGGATTACAGATAAACCCGCCATGTCGCCTCTGCTTCGACTCAATCACCGCTCGTGTCAAAAAAATCTCCCCACGACTCGGCTACAAAAGACTCGCTAGCTTATCCGTGCTAACGGTTGTCGGACGGCTAAGGGCTAAACGTCTATTATCGGACACGTCTTAGCGACGGAGCCCAACAACACGATGCTAGCGGCAGGTATTCTGCACAATGCTGTCACGATAGCAACACGATGCTAAGTGTGCACGAGAGTAACTTTGTGTAAAACTGCTCGTGTTTTCTCACATGTCACGGGTTTTTTTTCCTCCAACGCAGCGCATGTTAGCACCCGAGCTATACGACCTGGAGCTTCACGCTTAAGCTAACGTTAGCTGTGGTCACTGGTTGTGTCTCTGCAGCAGTGTGTTGTGTTGTGTTGTTGTGCTGTGACGTGTTGCTGAAGCGTGAAACGCGAGTGACCACAATGAGACCAAAACAACAACAGCGGAGACCTGCCCAGGCTGCGCGTGTCCGACGATGGAACCACTGGGAGATTGCACACTGCATCAGGAAACGTCAACACGTATGATTGTTAAAAACGCGCACACCGTCGTCACACGATTAGTTTCCCGGTGTTGTGTCAACACCGAGACGGGCTCCGACTCTGCGAACCGGCCGCAGACCGTGCAACCCGCCCTCCTCTGTGTCCGATGATGGAACCCCGCGGCTGCTTCACCCTCACCGCAGTTTTTTTTTTTTTTTTTTTTTTTACCTTGTACACATCTCCGTATGTGCCGCTTCCGATCCGCTGGATCAGCTCGAAATCCTCCTGCGGATTCCGCCGGGACAGGTCGACGCTGGAGTTCATCGTGTCCACTGGCGACTGCGGCGCCGATCGCGCTCGTTCGACGAAGCCCGACAACGTAGGAGAAGCAGATTTCTGAGGAAAAACATACGCGGCGTCAGAAGATCCCAGCCCGACTCCACTGTGGCTCCAACATGGCTGCCGCTGCGCAGGGAGCGTGCGCACTGGACATGGAGCTGCTGGATCCAGAGACTGGTCCACTTCAATACGTGTGTGTGTTTGTGTGTGTGTGTGTGTGTGTGTGTGTGTGTGTGTGTGTGTGTGTGTGTGTGTGTGTGNTGTGTGTGTGTGTGTGTGTGTGTGTGTGTGTGTGATGAAATCTCACATCTAATTTCAACTATTAGATATTTATTACCAGCTCCATCACCTGCATTTTATAATTCAACCTCTCTTAGACATTCAAGTAATGCCTGGGATATTCATTTATCATATAATTTCATAATTTTGCAGCTACTAATGTAATTCACCGACTTTAAAAGTTGTAATAACACATTTGAATTTGAGCTTTTCTTACGTTTATGTGCACATTTGTCCTCTAATGCAAAATATAGTTTTCTTAGTCACTGCATTTTAATACTTCAACGATTGAATGATGTAATTGTATATGTTTTACTTGCCTGTATAATATTTATAATAATAATAAATCCTGCAGATGGAAACCACATGATGACAAAATGAGAGTGTAGTTTACGTTTTTGTTTGCGTGATTGAGTTTTAATGTCCAGCTCTGTGGGATCCATGCAGTGATGGTCTGCTGGGAGTTTACAGCTAAATGAAATGAATTTAAACACTAAGCCCGCTGTTGCCTTGTCTGGCCTTTCGATGTAAAACTGGGCTAAGCAGGGCTAAACTGTGGCAGATGGCAACATTGTGATTCAGCCGGTGGGTTCTGTTATAAACTGAGTGAATGTCCCTTTACTGAAAACTTTACATTTATCATGTCGCTGGCCTTAACGCACAGCAGCAGAGGAGAACAGTTCCCTATATGTGCCTGGTCAAGGTTCTCGAACTAGGCGAAAGAAGATTTCATAATTTGCAGCAAAACCCTAAATGCATATTTTCTAAAAACTCTTTTTAAATTTCTGAGCCTTTTAAAAACATAATATATTTATGAGCAGTTTTCCATAAGAAGGTGGGTGAAGGATTTACATTCCAATCTACAGCTCAAAAAGAGTTTAGAATTCACCATTGTTTCTAAAAAAATATATTTATTCAAAACATTTGCAATAAAAACAACAGGTAAACAAATATACATGTTCTAGAGTAGTTGTAATAAAGCCTGGCAAGTAAAAAAAAAGTGACTTCCATCACTGGTCAAGCCTTTGTCTTAACATATTTATGGATGAGTCCGTCTATAGCACCTAAACTAACTCTCAGAGTTGTCTGGTGCTTCAGAGAGGAGAGGGGTGGAGGCAGGCTGAGTTGTTGCCCAGTTTGAGTGTCTGTTTCCAGGGTAGAAGAGGGTTTGACTCCCTGGTGGATTTGGAAAGTCTGCTGCTCCCTGGAAGACAGAGGGGGAGATGGACGGTCTTGGACTCCAGTTTGAGGCGTCGGGCCGCTGTCTTTTTGTGCCAGGAGTTTTTTCAAGAGAAAGGACAACTGAGGACTCAGGAGGAGAACCAGGGATCCACCAACACAGAGGATCCTGCAAACACAAAGATAGTTAGTATATCTGGATAGAAATCTGAATGTAATTGTTTTTAGAAACCCTGAGTACAGATTTGGTTTGTTTTACTTTTCACATCTTGTAATTAATTAAATTTACTTTAAAAATAACGCAACAAAACGTGTAATCTAAAACTGTGTTGTGCAACACACACACACAAACCATCACCTGATTCACTGAACACTGCTAAAAGAAACAAGAGAAACAGACACACAGGGAAACAAACCTCTCCATCTCTGTGACAATGACTGGGAGATTGGCAGCCATGTTTGTCTTGGTGCCAAACTTCCTGCCAAACGGTAGGTCACAGATCACGGCATCTACGCTGGCGCTGGGCAGAGGCAGCGCTGCAGGAGGACAGATGAGCCAAGAAGTAATTTAACACATGACAGCAGGGTTCACTCTCACCTCCCACTCACTGAGCTGTGAGTCCTCAATAAAGAGCAGAGTCAAAATCCTCATCACCTGAATTTTAGAATTCAGTCTCTGTTAGATTTATAGAATTAATCTGTGACCGTCTCTCAGCTACAACTTTATTTCACTGACGATGCTTTAATTTGAGCTATTCTTGTGTTTTTCCTCTAATACGAAATATAGTTAAAATACAGAGAGAGTACATAAACCTTTATTACATTACAGAATTCTAAAAGGTATTTATTGCAGGTTTCTTACCCATAGACGAAGCTTTCATCAGCTGTATCCTATTCCCCATTTCTGCAAACTCTATGTTCTCATTGGCCTTCTGCAGCTGTCTGTCATCAATGTCCACGCCCAGGAAACAGGCAGCCTGAAGACCCCACGGAGAGCGAGACACAAGATTATAATATTCTTATTATTCCTCACAGTGTATTCTTCTTAATTATGATGATATCAAAACTTCTGATATTTCCAGAGAAGCCAGAGACGATTTTACGGCAGACCCAGAGGAGTGTTGTGTGGTTTTCTGGTTCCTCACCTTGTTCTCCTGCGCTGCTTCTATTAAGATGGTTCCCACTCCACACATCGGGTCAACGACACAGAAACCTGGCTGAGAAACAGAAGAAAACAAACAGTAAAAAAAATAAAGGTTGAATGAGGACAGCTTCAGAGAAGAAACGTGCACACACAATAAAGAACTGAGCAGCAGTGTGTGTGTGAGCACCTGTATCTGAGCCAGTGACATCATAGCCCAGGCGATCGTAGACCTCAGTCCCGTGGTTTTAATGTAGCTGCGGTGAGCCAGAGGTAACCTGATGGAATGGAAACCGCAATAAGAAACAGATCTGTATCCCACCACCACCACCACCACCACTACGTGTAAATCAACTATTCCTCTGGGATTTAAATCTCTGGTTGTGAGTGATTCTGGGTTCAGCTGCCAAGTCAGGCTGGCAACAGCTCCAAAACAAACCCTAAACACTGGTGACGACACGCAGCAGTAAGAAACAACCCAAAAGATAAAAAAAGTTGAACTTGCAGGAGAGAAAAGAAAGAAAGGAATTCAAAACACAGAGAATATAAGTATTGCATCCTGTAAATACAGATCCAGGAGCAGTGCATGTGCATGTGTGCAGTGGAGAGCAGGTTGTTCAGTCTGTTACCTGGTCAGTGGAATCCCCAGCAGACAGAGGTCGTCACTCAGATAAACATTTACCTGCAGAAAAGCACAGACAACGACTGATACATACACAATACTTAGCATTTTAGCCAGGTCATAATAACTGTATGATCAATAGAGTCAGGATTGTTTCGGAAAACAGTAAAAAGTTTTACCTCCAGCTGTGGATTCTTCAGATCAGCCTTCCAGCCCATCAGTCTGCTCAGTCCCACTCCCATCACTCTGCTCACCTCCTGCATCAAGTTTATATATTTATATTTATACATATCTACGATATACAATATTCTGATGAAGGCTTGGGCAATAAAAAAAAAACAAGTTACCAATAATCTTCACAATTTCATTTTCATCGATGTTGACTGAATTAATTCTGTCCTGCACCTGTGAGCTGAAGTGTCGAGACACAGACCCTGTGCACTTGCAGCTGATCCGAAACGAGAGCGGGGCAGAGGACGTGATCTCTGGTCTGATCCTGAGCTGAGGTTGTTTCTTTTCTTCTCCTCCAGCTTTAATCACTTGATTCAGACAAACAAGAGAAAAAAGGAGGATGAAAGAAATCAGAGGAGAAAACTTAAAGATGTGGAACTTCAACCCTGATATAAATATTAAAGTTAAAACAAAAAATCTGATTAGTACCGTGTTCCACGTCCTCTGCCATGTCGATTTTCTTTTTGCTGCCACTTTCCTCTGATCCTCTGCTACTTAACATCCTCCTCTCCTCTTCATCGTCTTCATCCTCTCTCTGTCTCTCTTTCTCAGTATTCTCTTCTTCATTCTTCCTCCTTATCCTTTTCTCCAGTACCTGGTCTTCAACTTCAACCTCTTTCTGTCCCATCTCTCTTTTTCTCTTCTTCTCCAGAGTCTGTGCTTCCTCTTTATCTTCACCTCTTCTTAGCCCCCTGGTCTCTCTTTCCTCTTCCCTCCGTTCCACTGCACTCTTCCCAGTCTCCACACAGCACCGTCCCTCCTCTTCCATCTGTTCTTCACTCCATCTCTCCTCCTCTTTCCTACTCATCACACCCGGGGAGGTGCTCGACGTGTTGGCAGTGGTTCTTCTTCCTTGTGCTAGTTCCCCCTGCAGGCGACTCCACGTCAACACGGCGCTGGTCCATTGGCTCTTGTCACCCAGCAGCCTGGACTGCAGCACAGAGGTCGCCTTTGCTGTGAATATCACAAATTAAAAGTTTAAAAAGTCAGACATTAATTTTAGTGTTGTAAAGAATCTTTATTATTTATATTTCTGGACATTCATCTACTTAAAATCTCATATTTCTGGCTACATTTAGTAAAACAAGTCCTCCAATGTGATTTAAGTTCCAATGAAGGTCACAAACTACAAAACAAACAAAATTGGTGCAAATGGATGAAGCTTTAAGATCCCAGACTAACTTTCTGACGCGTGTCTGTGTATTTGAATGTGAGGAGCTGGTACCTGGGCTGCTGAGGGCGGAGAGCTGCAGCGCTGAGTCGTGCTTCAACAGGAGGAAGAGTCTCTCTGCAGACTTCAGCTCGCTGACTCTGTCGATCCTCGCAGACGAGCTGAACAACACTTTCCCTGACAGCTGACGCACCTGAACACAGAGCACACCTGAACACACCTGAAGACAGAGCACACTCGAACACACCTGAACACACCTGAACACAGAGCACATCTGAAGACAGAGCACACTCGAACACACCTGAACACAGAGCACACCTGAACACAGAGCACACCTGAACACACCTGAACACAGAGCACACTTGAACACAGATCACACCTGAACACACCTGAACACAGATCACACCTGAAACAGTTCACACTCTGTAGAACTGACCCAGAGGAACACAGAAGCCTCACACAGTTTGTTTTCATACTGAAGTTTGACAAACTATTGAAACACCATCAGAGTCTGTGGGTGACGCACTGAGCTCCTGGAGGAGGTTGTCATAGTGACGGGATAGACTCACATCCTCAGCCTCCAGCCTCCTCCTCAGCTCCTCCGTTAAAAAAGGCTCCATCCCGTTACCGGCGGTGCAGAAGTACCGAACCGAACCGTCCTGACAGCCCGGTTCAGCCATTCTGATCCTCGATGTGCTCACGCGGTCACCTCGCGCTGCTGACAGTTTCCATGTTGGATTGTTTGTTGACTCCGGAACAGGAAGTGTGTCTCCCCGGTGTGTGCAGGGACCGGTCGTGGCCAGCAGGAGGCTCTCTATCACCAGAATATAAAATGACTGACTGGATGGAAATGAGGTTTTTACAAACATTGAATAAAAATAAAATATGTAAAAAAAATCAAACTGAGAAACCCACGAATTCCTCCTTTTTAATGACATGTTACATATCAAATAGCCCACATGCCAATAAGTGGAAGTATGATGATATCGTGATAAATAAATAAAACACAGATAAGATAAAATGTGTTTACAATGACAACGTATTACAGTAGGCAGGTGAAAGTTGAATAAAAGGAAATTATAAAAGTTGATCTCATATGAAGTGAATATATATATTCTGTGTTTTCTATGTATTTATTGTAATGTATTATTATATATTCATAGAATTTTTATTCATTTTGATACATGGACACACACGCACACACACACACATCTGCTGCAGTATCGAACCTGGAGGCCCTTTTGAACAGATGTTTCTTCAGAGTCACAATTCTTACTTTTCTCTTCGGTTTGTTTTTGAAGTTCCCTCCATCTTCGTCTCGACACTTCACTCATTAAATCTCCATCTCTCCTCGAACACATTTAAATCTTCCTCTTTCCTCAGTCTCACATTTTAATGACCCCATTCAGTCCCGTTACTCTGGTTGATGAAGGTTGCTGTCCCTGTTGCACTGAGCCATAAACCTCACAGACGCTGACAGGCTGCACTGACCTGCCACAGCTGCGTGCAGCACCATGGTAATGATGTAAAGAATTATGATCGGTGAATATATTTATGTGACGCAACCGCGGGTATTACTTTAGATTGATGTCATATTGCATCTGTGAGCGAGGATTTGATTTCCTTTGAATCAGGGAGTCATTTCTCTAATTGACAACTGATTACCAGCAGTCACCCACTTCAATATATTTCTTCTTAAGGAATCCAAGTTTCAAACACAACATAAGTCACAGCAACATTAAATATTCACAGTGGCAACAATCATATAATCTGTGATTGTTTTCATTCAGTCCAAAGATGAGAGAAATGTCAGAAGAATAAGTTCGGAAAGAATTTGTTGAGAAGTTTTTGCCACATTCTGGCAGCGTCACAACTCTGAAATATATTAATCATTAACCATCGTGTCACCCACCTACTCAGGACAATGAAACTTTCATGACCACACATCCAATGGTTCTTGACAAATTTTATTCTGGACCAAAGTTATGAGCCAGCAACATTAAAATCCCCAGAACCAGAAACATGACTACGAATGGAAGCCATGAAAAAATAGTTCTCTGTTGTTCCACTGACAATATTATTTTTCTGTGACTCATATTTGGTATTTATTCATGTGTCATTAGTGTCCTCAGTGTGACTCTGGAAACTAATCCGTCATGTTTTCGCTTCATTCCACATATTTGACAAATGACTTCATCGTTCATTTAACTTATGTTATTATTCATCTTCTTCTTTCTTTCTTTTTCTATCGTTCTGTTCATCTACTGTCAAAACTATACAGGACACACTGAGGGTCAGGTAATTACCCCGAGTCACAGATGGTGTTACTGTGAGATGGATGGTGATTACAGCACCTTTAGTCCAGGACAGATCTAATTAAAAATTAACTTGGATTTATGGGGCTTACCTTGCAATTCAGGTTTACTCTTTCCCTTGTCACTCTCATTCTCTCTAAAGTTTTGCCTGCGACTACACTTTTCATCAGCCCATAGTATCGAACGTATTCATGTAGAAAGGAGACATTAATACTCCTTTCAACAGCTGCCATTTGCAATAATTAGACCCACTGCTGCTAACTGAACACAACAGCGTCACAAAATGGATGCCGTCTGGCAGGCCAGCCATGGGATGATACATTACTGTACATTAAACTTGTTTTTATTCTCCTCCACACCCCATAAATGAACGGATGGAGGAGGATGAATGCAGACAGAGAGGGAGGGAGGGAGGGAGGGCAGGTGGAGAAGAGAGAGGAGAGGGAGGCATAGAAATGAGGAAAAAAGAATAATGGATGAATAGATTATCTAGAGGAGTGCAAAAAACAGAAGCTCTGTTTTACAACTTCATCACATTGGACCAATTAGTGCAGCCTTGGCTTCAGTGTGTTTCTCTGGAGCTGATGTGTTTTAAATGGGACAATAATATAAAGTTCTGTTAACGATAAACACAAACAGACTCACAAACACACGACCGGGGACCAAACTGGGTGAAAACCAAGATTTTATTGTTACTAACACAGTGTGATGAGAACTAATGACGGACACCACCTCTGGGAAAAATACATTTTACGTGTACTTGTTTTTTTAGTCTGGTCCATTGTCTCGCCCACAAACATGGAGGCTTCCAGCCACCAGGGGGCGATGAACAGATTTCGGCGTCACTTTTAAGGAGCTGTCACGTCGTCCATTTTATAGTTATAGAAGTCAGTGTAAATTTATGAGAAAAGTCAAACAGGGAACGGAGCAGCGAATGCATTGTGACGTTGATATCATGCGATTGACAGCTGGTAACGTCCAATGGGTGCAGGTGGCAGGTGTAGGTGGGCGTGGCAGGCTCCACCCTTCGTTCTTCGAAATATGGTTACTTCTGGTTTCAGAAACCCGGCTCAACAAAATGCCAAGGCCTGAAAACGATGGTTCACAAATCACATCATCCTTCTCATCTCATCTCTTCTATTCTTTTCTTTTGCTTTCTCTTGAAACTCCCCTTCTCCTTCCTTCTTTCATCATTCCTTTCTTCTCTCTAATTTCTTTCCTTTTATCTGCACTTCACCGTCAGATGGAAATTAAACCTTTAAAAATAGATGGAGCAATAAAAAAAACGAAGACAGAACAAACGAGAGAGGGAAAGAAAGAGCGGGAGCAGGGAATCTCCACCGCTGAAACATATGGGTGCGTCCATGAGCATTTCTGTGTGTTGATGCGTGTGTATGTCGCTACCTGAGCACATTTAAATATTTACTGCTTCTCAGAGGAGTGTGAAGTGTGTCGACCGGGCTCGGGATCCACGGAGAGTGAGAGTGAGAGAGGAAGAGGAAGAGACAGATACTCTCCCAGCTGCAGAGCTCAGACCAGTAAACACTGCATCAAACTGACAGAAGCTATCAAAATCAACAATAACCAGAGAAATGGGAAAGAGCAGCAGGCTGGAAACAAGACTGGATGGAGAGAAAGACGTGTGAAGACACAGAAACGAGGAGGAGTGTGTGTGGTCTTGATCATGGCTGCTGCGTGTAACTGAAAGGTTCACTGTCTTTAGTTTATTAAACGCAAGTACATCATTAGCAAAAACACTAAATTACCCATAACACACTTTGATTTTTTTTTGTCAGAAATTCTCAAAATATAATATTTTTTTATTTATTTTACTCCATTTAACCAAAAACAAAATGAACAGAATTTATAATCAGCTAACTTGCAATCTCCCTTTTTACACATTTCAATCATAAAGTCTTTCTTTTGGCCATTTTCAAAGCTGATGTGAGCTAACTGGAATTCAGCCATAACTAACTTAACACATCTGTTCTTCCTGCAGTGATGCATCAGAACATATTCCGTGGATAAAAGGCCTGCCTTCTGTTTCCGCGGTGCGGTTGGTTGGTTTTCAGCCAGTTTGGCTCATCTGCTTAAGTGCTGGAAGACGCGGTGTAAGATAAGTGGTGCTGTGGCTCAGAGAGTGTGTCGTGAAATAGGTGCAATATTTTTTAGAAAACTTAGAAAAAGTAACATCACACAGCTGAGCACACTGATTGGAAAGGAGATAAAAAAGGTTACAATGGGGAGGAAGGTCTCAGGATCTAAATGATTAACAGACTGAAACTCCACATTAACCTGACACACAATTTCATTTAGCCGATATAAACTCAACTCTGAGGCCTGACAGGTGCACAAGCCCTTGTCCCAGTTAACGAAGAACATCTCTCACACTACATAAAATCCCAACTCCCCTCGCCCCACATTTTACCAAGCAAAAAAAAGTCAACATCACACGAGCACCGAGGCCACTGCTCCATTTATCTAAATAAAAGAGCTGAAAGCCCTTGGCCTATTTTTTCAATGTTTGACACAGCTGTTATAAGAGTTTGCAGCTATTACTTTAATTCTAAAGGAGGTCTGACCCCCCCCCATGCACAGTGCCACAATCACACATTCACTTAAAGATTATGAAAAAGCTGCAAAAAAACCCTACTCTCAGTGTTTTTTATTCTAGATGCACAAACAGCACACAGGCAACAAAGACCCACTCAGATAGAGATCTGGCTGGGGTCCTTGCAATCGCTGTAATGGGTCTTTGGCCTAGAAGACACGTCAAAGACCCAGTCCTGATGTCCAGCCTCAAGGAGTCAGACAGGGGACAGTCTGAGGGTCCAGGGTTGTCGCACTGTGGAAGTGTAAAGTGTTAATTGCCAAGTTTGTGTTGGAACCCAGTGCAGACACAGGCAGGTAGCGGGATATGTGAGTTTAATAAACAAAGAAACAAGACTGGTTCATAACCAGAGTTTGTGTAGTTCCTTGTCCTTTTAAAATTTTGCATAATGAAGCATTTCCCCCCCAAATGAATGATTTAAAAATCCCCTCCACTCTGTGAGAGGAGCCATGATATCCGACAGTCCATCCATTGACATAAGATCTCTTCACTTCCTTGTCTTTGCCTCATTGATATAACTCGGCTCAATTTAACATCAATGAGATTCAGAGGATTTTCTCATACTTCTCAAATTTAGCTCCAGTGAAGCAGCCGTCCTCTTGACTTATTCAAGATCTTAAAACGCTCCTGTTTCAGTCTCACTCCACTGTGAAGAAAGTACATAGAATAAAAAATACGACCCAACACGCCATATTATTCCTGCTTGTTCCATTTCAAGCTCTTACTGCTTCTCACACTCCATCACTTACCTCAAATCAATCTGTGGACGTTTGGATTCCTCCTCTTGCATTTGCTCTTCTCTGTAGCTAGAGGGAGGTGTAGGTTTGCTGCTGAGCTTCATGCCTCTGCTGTGTTGTCTTGATTCATCTCTGCAGCAGGATGTACAGGGGAGGAAGAGGAGGGGTGAAGAAACAACAGGCCGGCTGCAGAGAGAGAGAGAGGGTGAGAGAGAGAGAATCAGACTGAATGTAGCAGGTTAGTTCACATTTGGGTGAAATGTCTTGTGTTGTCATGGCAGTGTGTTAGAATAATGTTCACATGATGAATTGAAGACATAGATATGTGCTTTTAGTTGTATAGACCATGATTCACTACTTGTGTTGAAACCCTTTAAAGGTCCAGTGTGTAAACAAACTAAACACCTTTTGAGTTTTCATGACAACTGAAGCTACCACAGGTTCTTTTTCATGTTTGGAAGGAGAGGGGGAGGTGAGGGGTGTTCAGCTGCAGCAGGGTTGGTTCAGTATTTGCTCAATGTCTGAGGTCTGTTTACACACTGTATTAACTGCAGTGTAGTTTGATTCCTCCTCTTCTTCCTCAGATGCTGCCTTAGATTAGAGTTTTCTCCTGGTTTATAAACAAACACACACCATCATCATCATCATCATCATCATCATGGGCCAGCTGCTCTCATCAGAAGAAGAGTGTTCTCAAGTGAAGGAAGCACTCGGCTCCCTCCTCTTCAGCGCCATGCTGGAAGGTGGAGCTGTGCCTGACCTCGGAGTTGTGCACCCTCTCCTCTTGGCCAATCACCAGGAGAGTTTTGACCCCCAGGACCGCCTCCAGGAACAACTGCGAGAGGTTGATAAGATTTTTTTTTTTTAAAGCATGACAGTATGCATGAGTGATGATAATGTGATGAGCAAAACAAGACAGCGGCCTGAATATGTGTCCTGTAAATCTTCTGATCAACCAGAACATGTTACTCAGAATTATAATAATAATCACATCAAGACATGTAGAGTTTTCCCACATTAGCATGTTTATGTCTCAAATGCATTATTGCAACATCCACATTCAACAGTAACCAACTGCATGACCTGGGTCTACATGTGAACAAGATGGCAAAAGTGTTGACATGAGTCATAATCAGACTCTCCCTCTTGTATGTAAACAGAAATACTAATGGAATGTTCAGTAAGCATCACATGCAGATTCAGAGGAATGTCTCATTCAGAGAGCGAGTGCAAAACATGAGATGATCTGAGAGGATGAACCCCTCATTGATTCCACCTTTAAATCCGTTTAGTGGGTGGAGATGAACGGTGGGGAAGGAAAGTGGCTGTTGCCTTGAGATAGTTCGCAAAGATTGATTGTGCAACATGAGGCATCACTCCTGTTTCAGTCCTGCTGCGAATTGCAAAGAAATCAATGCAATGGTCACCAAGGACAAAACGTCGGGAGAGAGATCTACTCACCGAGCATTTGTATTTTTACAAAGACGGATGAGAAGAGAAACTGAGCTGGAGTTCTGTTGCCATTTCAACATGAATGTTTGTGTTCCTCCTCACCCAGCTGCAGGGCAACATTGGGAACAGGGCGCCCGCCTACCTGAAGGATCTGATTGGCAGATTGACAACCTTCTCGGATGAGCCGCGCCTGGCCGGATTGCTGGGATTGGTGGTTACTATGGTGATGGATATGGCTTACACGTCATCAAGACAGTCGTCGGGGGTGAAAGGGAAGTCAGCGGGGTCATCGTCCTGCCAGGTGAAACCTCTGACGTAAAATAAAGAAGGGAATTTGTAAGAGTAGTGAAAAGTAAGAAGATATTGTTTGAACAGATAATAAAAAGTTTTTAAAAAGACGCAGAAAGTTTAGGATATTTTAACATTTTGAAAAGCTTAAACGAAAAAGTTACTGTTCGTCAGTTCATGTGTGTGAGTGTCTTCCTGCAGCAGAGAGTGTGGGAGCTGCAGGAGGTGATGGAGGAGTACCTGAAGCGCTGCAGGATCAACCTGAGCGACAAAAACAGGCTCATCCAGGACGCCGTCCGACTTGAGGGGCAGCTCAGCCTCACCCTCACTCAGCTGAAGACCTGTCTGCTGGGGGGAGACTGCGACTCCAGGTGAGTGAAAGCAGGGTGAGGATGGCATCATGCAGGGGAGAGGAAGGAAGTAAAATACAATTTAGAAAAGAGGACAACAGTAGAATACTGAATACGAGGGAACAGTGCTGAGGAGATGCTCTTCTTCCTCCTCCAGGTCTCTGAGGCACTGGGCCAGTGGTGCAGCGTTTCACACCCAGATGTTGGTTCACCTGGCTGGACTCGAATGTCAGGTGGAGCCCCGCGCTGCGAGGGCGGCGCTGGAGCAATACAAGGAGGACCTCACACAGATCATACCTGCTTACAGGTAACACAAGTCAGGCAGCAGCTGATCAGGCAGCAACAACTTCCCAGCCTGCATGTCCAGTTTGTCAGGTTTCTACTACATTGCTAATACTACACTGTCTAAAAAGTACTTTTTAGTTAAGAAAGGGTGGAAGTGTGTTGATTCTACATGAAGCTGATGACTAGTGGTTTAAATATGCCATTCAAAGTGCAGGTACACTACGTTCTGTTCTGCAGTGTGTTGGTGGTACAAATACAAACAAATACTGTGCAAACACGGTAGAATTTTTTTGGAGGGCACGCTGTCAGACAGCAAACACACAGCACCTCAGTGGAGGCAGGAAGCTGCAGAAGTAAAGCTCACTGACGGAGGAAACCATGGCCGCTCAGGGCCCAGCTGTCTGCCGCGAGACAAGCTTTCCAGTCTGCTCCGATTGTGACAAAGAAAAACACACAGAAAGTTTATCAGACTGTCAGAAAAAGAGTTGCCGTAAACTTCCAGCTCACATTTAGACTCGCTGCCGACAGTGAAAACCTCCTGTCACACAGACGACGGCTGCAAACGTGAAATATTCAACAATGTGGGAATAAAATGGGAAACACATAAAAGTCAGTGAGTGTTTAAATTGTTTTGACGACTGAAACACAAAACCCAGCAAACATTGACAGTACATAAAGATGGACGATATGACAGCTCCCCAGAAGTGAAGCCAAAACAGCCCCCTGGTGGCTGCCTGCAGTATAGTACAGGTTAAATAATGTTTTCTTAATGATGTTTCTGGCATTTCAGGTTATTATCACACTGGTATTTGTTCAATTTTGGTTTGATGCCACACAAATGAGGTGAAACATCATGATTGACAGTTGTTAGTTGTGAAAGACATTTTGAAAAGAAGACAAAATGACAAAATGTTTAAATGACTAAAATATTTCTGATCTTCTCATCCTTACAGGAGGTATAAGTCCAACACCGTGTGTGTTGCGAAATGTCGTGGGGGTCTTCCTGTGTCATGTGACCCCTCCAAAGAGATGCTAGAGGAGGGGTCCATGACGGGACTCACTGTGATGGACAGAGAGACAGGAAAGAGTGTGACGCTCCCTCTGTCCACCTTGGAGACAGAATTAGGTAGATGTTTTTAAAAAAAAAAAAACATCTTTCGCCAATCTCTGTCAAGTTACATTTAACTAAACTGAGCTGAACTTTACAGGGAGGAGGAGAGTCTCTGGGTCCTCCTCCATCAACCTGGACCTGATCACCTCAGATCAATACACCCAGGCGTATTTGGAGCATCTGTTCTCTGACGAGGGACCTGTGGCCAAGCTGCAGAGCTACTTTAATAAGACCAGCGACCATTTGCAAACGCTTAGAACTCAACTGGGATGTACAAACAAGACCAGGGCGAGAGACGGGAAAGATGGAAGCGATGGGGTGCGTCTTCAAGAGCAGGCAGAGGGAGCACATGAGGAGCAAAGAGAGGACACGGCCAGAGGTGATAAACAAGACAAGATGGAGACGAGAGGAAGAAGAGAGGAGATGAAGGAACTCGATCAAAGAGATGAAAGTTTGAAAGTGAGCATCACTGAGACGCAGCCGGAGGAAAGCCTCATTCACGGACCGTCAAGTACATAAAAGCAGTGGACACGGCAGCAGCCATATTACAAGATGTCAGTTCACCACTGAAGAGGAAACAGAAGTGGAACTCAGAAACTTTTTATCAATCATGAAGCAAACCATTGAGAAAGATATAGAGGCGTTGGAAGTGGCTCCTGGATAGAAGGTGAAGAGCAGCTCTACTGATTTATCTGCAATGCTGCAAAATGACTTCAGCTGTGGCCAAATATGAAGTTAATATGTGAAGTCAGTATATTTGTGAAAGCTTTAGAAGATGTCAGAAAAGTATATATTGTAAATTTGACTGAGAATCTTATAGTTATATCCATAGGCTGTAAATAAAGATCTGTACTGCTGCCAGCCACCAGGGGGCTATCCAAATGATATGGCTTCCATTTTGGGAATCATATCGTCCATCCTTATATTCAGTCTATGGCTTCATGATTGAGGGTCTGTGAGTCGTTCACTAGGTTTAAAAACACATTAATCTATTGTTAAGAGATGACCAGGGTTAAATCCTGTGTTTGCTTTCTGCATATGTTCTATAAAAAATGTAATTGTCACACAAAGAACTGTTTACTTCAGCTTTCAAGATACTTTTAACTACCACACGTTTTATATCAACTAAGATGAATCAAGTAATCGTACGTGTCAAAGTCTTGAATCCCTTTGATAAAAGAAACTAAATGCTGTGTAAGTCAAAAGTCATGCAACAAACCAGCCTATAATATATTTAACTTTCCTCTGTTGTGGTGTAAAATGCTCTTTAACTGGTGTAAACTGTCGTTGGCCCTTTAAATTAACAGTAAAATCATGAATGTTGCACTGCTGCTCTGGATTCAGTATGACATCACTACATTAACTTTGTCTCAGCGCCTTCAACTCTGCCCGACTTCACTGTCCCTGCTCCGTCACACCTCTCTGACTCTTCTATTCTGCTCTAGAAAAGGTCACAACAGGACAACAACCTGTCCACCACCTGCACCAGTCCATTTGAGACTTCTTGTGAGAGCAAAAGGGGACATTTTGAGTGACGCTCACAGGAGAGATGGCACTTTTTGTTTGAGTGCGTCTCACTCTGAAAGGTTGAAAAGATGCTTTTTCTCTCGGCGTTATGTTGTGTGATGCAGCAGGTGGGCGAGCGGCACAGGAAGTAGCTGGCAGCGCTGTGTGAATAACAAGCCAGTGTGTGTGTGTGTATTTCTGTGCTTGGGTGTGTTGGCATGAGTGTGAGAAAGAGTCGGACTGTGTGTGTGTGTGTGTGTCTCGGTAAGTCTGAAATAGAGAAAGAAAGAAGTGAGGAATAACATGTAAAGAAGAATTAGAAGTGGAGAGTGATAGTGTGTGTCTATAAAAACAAATGTGTGAGTTACTTAAAGAAAATGGATGATAGAGATGGTACAGAAAGAAAGTGTGTTACAAGTGATGGACGTGTGTGTGTGTGTGTGTGAGTGAGAGAGAGAGGTCTCGCTTGCTGTTGATGAGTCACACTTCACAGCTCCAATTACTGGTCTCTGCTCTGCTAATGCTGTCTGATTGGTGTTATTACTCTCTCACTCTTTCATTCTCTTCCTCCCTCACTCTGCTCTCTCCCACTGGCCTTCAAGATTAAAATGACTTTATTATTATCACGTGAACGGCTATGTGTACACACACCAAGGAAAAACACTACGAGTCATATTCTCTATATATCAGCTCGTACAGAAACTCCTTCTTTGGTCATGTTTTTCTCTCGCAGTGTTTTTATTTATTTGTCTTTTGATTACACAGTTTTTTTCTCTTTTTGGTATCCTCCCTCTACTTCCGGATTATCTATTTTCTGATCTTTAGAGCAGCTCTCTCTCCATTACTGCTCGTGGTCCATTACTGCAAAAAAAAAAACCCTCAGATAGATTTATCAGTGAAATAAAAACAACATTAAAAAAGACGGAATAACATGGATCCAAAAGGAAAAACAATTGTTTAGCACCCAAAGAAATGCAGTGTTGAATTAATAATTACTATTAAGACTATTTGAATAAACCACTAATTCTTCTACTGAGTCGAGCTTCACTGAACTTTGAGTAAACAGGTGAACATCTCTGTGGTGCAGCATCAGGTTCTTCACTTATTGCAGCTCAGCTACTGCTGGTTACTTTTACAGTTTTAGAGAGAAAGCGGCGTCACCGGTCGAGCAAACTACAAAAATAACCAGTAGAAAAACAAGCTGCTAAATGAGGTGACAACGAAACAAGTGCGTACCATTTATTACAGTTTGTAAATACAACAGAACAATGACGTCACGACTCGGAAAATGGAACCTTCACATTCCCACGTGAATGCACAGAGTTCCGGCCTTTTGTACCGTGTTCGCTAAACCTGATGATGGACTATTATAAATCTGTCACATGCTTTTATATAAGTGAGGGGTCATCTTCTGATGGAGTAAGGTTTCCAGTTCTTTATGTTCTTCTGTTTTCCTTACGCTGCATCTTCCTACCTCAGGTGGGACGTTCATGGACCAAAGTTCAGTGACTCCCACGTGAGGAAAGGGTCTGAGCGTCCTCATTTAAGTGGGTTAACGACCTGATGGCCTGTGATCATGTGAACATGCAGGTGTAGTCAAGAGCCCAAATGTCTGCAGCTATGTGCATGTGTAATTGAGAGCATGTTACAGTGTGTGTGTGTGTGTGGCTGGATACTGCAGTTGATTCTAGTGAATGCGTCGCCGCGGCAACAGAAAATCACCACAGTAACTAGACATCATCACGCCGCCCACAGCCTCTCAGCAGGGAACAGTCGCTGACACAGTAAGTAACCTACTGTCGAGTGTGTGTGTGTGTGTGTGTGTGTGTGTGTGTGTGTGTGTTCTGCCGTGTGGGTGTCTGCAAGTCAAAGAGAGGAGGACTTGGTCAACAACTTTGGCAGAGAGAAAGGGTGAGAGACAATCAAGTGAGACAAGAAACAGAGAGAGACTGAAAGAGAGACAAGCAGAGAGGAAAGTAGGGAGAGAGAAATTAAGAAGGAAAGAGGAGAGAGGAAAGAGCAAGGGATGAGAGAATGGTGGAGGAGGTGACATATGTAGTTATACATCCAACTTTAACTTTACTTCAAAGCTTTTCTGTAAAACCAATATTTCTGATTAAAGCCAAAGTTTGAGTTATTTATCTGCATCAATCAGCTTAATTAGCTCTGTATGCAACAGCTGCCAGCAAGGTGCACACTGATGGTTGACAAGAGAAAAAGAACCAGAAGGACACTAAATGAGTGCATCCTCCTCATGAAACCATATTTAATTCCACCAGTTTCTCACCAAGTTCTTCTGTGTGATGCGTAAACAAATCAATGTTCTGTTTCTACATCCAGCTCCGTGGAGATGAGTGGGACTGCACAGCTCTGAGTCTCTGTGGGCTCCGGCGTCAAATCTCAAGAAGTATTGACTTGTGCAGCTTCAACAGTGGATAAGATTGAAATGTGGCGCAGGTGCTGACAATAACAGACTTTGAGATTAATTTCCCACCTTCGAGGTAGCTTTTGGATTCAGTACATTTTAAATTAAAATATAACCAGGATTGTTTTGTCTCTAAAAAAAGTACTTTGGGGTAAAAATAAATAAAAATACTCATGTACCATGAAATCAGCTTCATAAGTGAAATTTTCAGAAGTCGTTTAAAATGTCGTAGTTGTTTAAGTCATTATTGCTAAATATAAAATAATTTCGGGATGTTGCAACCCACTAAAACTAAAATACAAGCCTGTATTGCTGGTTAAGAAGATTAAAAAAACATTTTGCTGCTTGTGTTTCTGAAACACACAAGACATTTAAATAATCTGTAGATTAGTTCTATCTGATGAAAGGAATGCTAACAGACTGAAAATATGAATACACATGCATGGCTACTCCAACAGGATCTTGTACTTCTATTTTAGTGAGGACACTCATTGGCATAATGTCACGCACACTGGTGCTGGCAAGGGAGAACCCAAAAGCACGCCAACAGACAGTCTTAGTGTGGGCAACGTGGTTTATTCAC